TTGCATTTAATCTGGGTTAATCCCTCCAATCATCTTAATTCAAAGACATTCTCTTGGAAATTTCTGAAAATATCTTCTACATCTGTAAAATAATAACGATCCATCTGTTAAGTTACATTATTGTAAAAATTTTTATGACTTTCCACACCTTAACTTGAATACAATAATAATTTAACATATTAAAATTTCGGTAATTTAAAAATTATGTAATGGAGTCAATAGTAACATAATTGTAATTTAAAAAATCAAAGATATTAATTCATTATCAGAAATAAAAAAAGAAATCCATGGAGCACCATTACTCAGACTCCAATATCCATTAATTCAAAGAATCATGTTGACAAAATATTACATGTCAGAAATTTATCTGGTGATATTTGGACGTGTTCACGTTCACTCATTTCTCAAAGGAGAAACAAGATAAGAAAAAAGAAGAACACATCTTACTTCGTCTCGTTTACCAACTCAGGAATATTCTGCGATCCTCGATCATCGTCGATCTGCCAGAAGGGGTGGATAGGAGGAAAATGGAGTTTACGAAACTATCTCCCAGAGACGATAGAAACTAAATCGAGTTTCCACGGGGTGCTACGACCATTTGTCATTAGAAGAGAATTCGTACAGAGAACACGGTTGCCCTTCCAGACACTTCTTGATTACAGTTCGAAACGACCAGAAAGAAGTTCACCTATGCCATTATCACCCTCTACTTCTTCCACTTGATTATCCACATATTTGTATATTCTAAGATTCTAAAGATCTTAGGGTTCTGAAATTCAGAAATTCCAAAATTTTAAAAATTCTATGATTAAAAAATTCTGAGGTTCCAAAATTCTAAAGTTCTAAATTCTCAAATTCTAAGGGAGCTAACCCACCCCAGAAGAAACGCTACTTCCACCGATGAGCATAGTTACTCTCACAATTCAGCGATGGTTTTACGGTGACGACAACATTCATTCTCGGTAGTAAAAGGGCTAGTTACGCCAATGTTGTCTTTCTTCCTGTCCCAGATGAAGAACGGACGAATGATAGGGGATCAACGTTCCGTCGAGTCGTCCACAGAGATCCTCGATCATATTTACGAGCCCTTCATCCAGCCGGGATCAGTCGAGTAACCTGGCAGAATGCATCCAACATAGAGTAGAATGGAGTTTGCGAAACTCTGGCTGAGCTACGGCCAGAGATGGAACTGGACGTTTCTCTGTATACCGAGTCCATTTATCGCCAGAGAATTTTGATATGGACAGTCTCTCGTGATGAAGGACACTTCCCTTTGCTTTCCAACATACCTCTAGTCCTCTGTGTGTATCTCCAGGCTTAGAAAGTGGACCAACGAAGAGCCAACATTTCAGTCAGGATTTTCTTTGACTCTGCTATTCTCGTTCATCCCTAGCCTGCATTGCGATATTATTGGGAGACTCATCGACACAGCTATATGAATATCGTGCAAATTGGTAGCGAAATGTTTTCCTTTGAGGGACATTATTGGTGGAACAACAACCATTGGCGTAATAACAATGGCTCAGCCACATTGTCGTGGGTTTCAACGTTAACGAAAACATATGGATGAACTGGTTTAAACGAGTTTAATTCTTTCTGTTTGATCTTTTATGTAGGTATCGATTTAGTATAAATAGAGTCCCACATAAATGATTGCGTAATCGGAAAAATTGAGATTCTAAAAAGGAAATATAGAATCTAAATTTATACAGTACCATATAGAATGTTTCAAAAGAAACGTTGAAGAACGAACGAAATAAAAGTGTGAGCAATTGGCAAGAAATTTAATTCCTCAGGATCACGTTCGTGGAAGAACGATGAAGTTCGCGCGGCACAGCTGCCTCTAATCGCACCGTTTTGGAACAGAGAGGACATAACGAATCGGAAGTTTGTTGATCGAAAACTACGTGCGCCAGGTTTCCGCGTAAACGAGCAACGGAGTGGCACAAGTAATTAAAAAGAAAATGGTCGAAGTTAGTCGCGCAGCAACGGCACAATCCCATCATTCGGGTTAATGCCTCGGTGATTAAACGCGAGTATCGATCGCGTGTGCGTGCACTTTTCGAGAGTCGGAAAAAGTGGATGGATTTTTAACAGAACGAGCCGAGCATAAAAAGGAGTATTCGAAAAAGCGAATGCCTGCTTGTTGGAGATGCTCGTTTCTGTACGGTTACGCGGTTACCGATCGTACCCCGTTCCCGTTCGATCTCCCGATATTTCCTCGTGTCCTTTCGAATCACGAGCGATAAATTCCTTCGTGCGGACTACTGCCGGAATTATTGCGAACGGCAAAATATTTGAACCGTTAGACATGGCAACTGGGATTTTCCCTCGATTCTGTACGAGAATTTTGAGTTACGTCGAATGGAAGATGTCTGTACCTTTGGTAGAATTTAATTTTCAATTTTTATTCAATGTTTCAATTTTAAATATCGATCAAGAAGGGTTTGATACCGTTCGATGTTTATTGATACCTTGATCTAAAATTTAATTGGTACTGTTCTTTGCAATTCAAACTGAACCATTAATGAAAAAATGACAAACATTACAAAATAATGCCATGATTAATTAGGAAACGGTGAAACGATCGATGAACGAGCTTACTACCTGTTTTCCGTTGAATCGTAAAATTACAAATAATTAATGTCAAACGTTGTAATTAATTTAACTCGTTGAATTTAATTCGGCGTTCAATTGGCGAGTGAAAATGGTTGAATTTTTAAATGGAATAAAAATTAACTCCGTGGAAAATAATTTTATCTTCTCAGAGTTAATTAGCAAATTTTAATTACTGCCTTTCTATGAGTTGATGATTTCATGTTTCAAGGAAGCAAATTAAAGAAAATGGTTTGACAAGGCTAAAGGAAATGCTACCTTTTTTTTCTAAGCCTATATTCTCCATGTTGAAACCTTACAATCAATAATGCTGCACTAGCGAACCCCTATAATTATCAGCAAACACGAGGTTGCTTATCAAGCAACCGCAAGATTCGATGCTCGAATTCCTCTGGCGCTTCGAATAACGTTCACTAGTGCAGCGGCATCCTTGCGCTTTACTATTAAATATTAAATAGCGAGGGGATGCAAGCATAACAAGGTTTCTGGTTAGATTGCTGAGAATTAGTCATTAACCAAGCGCAGCGTGAAATTCAAAGGATGAAATCTGTTAATTGTCGACGTATTCTCGCTTCGGAATCATCCAGGTACACGGTTAAGATTTGTATCTGGAAGAAAATTAATTAAAGTGCACAAATTGGCCGTAGCCGAATCATCGCGCCCCATTAAAGCTCCTTGCGGGCAATTGTCGAGCCGCAATTGTTCTTGACCAACCGCAAGCTCAGTCTGGGCATTATCCAATCGTGCTTTCGTCCGTGCTGAAAATTTCATCAGATGGCTCCAGTAATTAACACTTTGACGCTGGTATATTGTAAAGAATCAATGGCTCTTGTAATTTCAGTCACGTTCGCAATTCACCGAAATAATTTTTATCAGAATAAAATCTGATAAATCTGATTTCGAATATTCGAAATAAAAAGTCTGAAACCTGTAATTCGTTATTAATTGTTAATAACGTTAGTGAAAATGAATCACTCCTCAAATAACAAATTATGTTGATTCAATTTAATTCTTTGTCCTCCTGAAATATATGACAAAGCTTTTTATTGTTTATATAAATGAGTGCCTGAATAATTCCCAGATTTATACGATAATGAACATAATTCTTGACGAGGAAAATTTGCAGCCAATTAGCTCGCATTATTTGCACTGTATAATTAATAATTGTATTACACCGTCGATAATACAAATCATAATTACACAGATCAGATAATATCGATTGCTCAGGTCTCAGCATGAGGGGGTTGCTGCATTTGTAGACCCACCCTAACCACGTCTCATCCACCCTGATTTTAAGCAAATTTTTATTCTTATTTTAGACTATCATCCTTTTGCTACATGTGCAAACGAAATAACGCGAGGAGAATTTTTAAGAAATTTATACGGGGAGGATGAAATGATAATTAATCAGAACATTTGTTTCATTTTTAATAGCGAAAGATAATACTACTTGGTGTCATATAATGAACCAATTGCATATTCATGTTACCCATTCATAAATGCTAATGATTCCTACCTATACGAACGCTTGTAATTAATAATGTATAAAGCCTGTTTAATTAATCAATGCAGTGTTTAAGGATTTGTTTATCTTAGCTTACCTAACTTTGTGGCCATTAAATGATGGAATCATTTACGGGCAATTGTTTTTGAGTAATCACTAGCTCAGCCGAATCAAGCTTTCGACCGAGAAAACTGCGTTGAAAAGTTGATGGAACGACGAGAATAATTAATGGAAATTAATTGCACTTTGAGCTATAAGTTATGTCTAGCTTACTTCCTTACAGTTGCACTGCGAATAATAGAGCTTGCTATTGTTGCTTTTTGGTCAGAAGATTTATATATGACCCTATTTCAAATTTATATAACTATTGCTAAATCAGTTAAGACTCTTGATTTAAATTTTGACGTTTAACCATAATTATGAAATGTAATCATAGTATCGTTTTTTATTTAATTAAAATTTATACTCAGGTGTCGTTTTTAATTACGTGAAATTTTCACAGAAAAGCTTATCTCTTATACTGCTAGAGATTTAGTGATGTAAAGTACGATGAAAAATTTAAGTGAAAATATCCCAACGAACAAGTAATAATAATTAATTCAGTACTCGCATTTGAAAGCACTGGTCCATTTCATGTGAAAAAGATGCTTTTAATTCTAGCAAGGTGTTATTTTTAAATGAAATTGATTCTCTGTTAATACTGGATGCCCCAGATTTTACTCATAAAACGATGCTGGTATCGCAATAAAGAATTTTTAATACGCGTCAAAAATTAATACAAAGAATTCCTGATGAATTGCGGATTCGTATTACGCGGTACATTTATATTTTCGCGGGTGTAACGCCATTGTTATTAACACTTCGAAAGCCACGAGGCACATATATTCGAGGGGACGGCTGAACAAAACATAGTTTACAGCAGCAGTGTATTAACTTATTATATTTGGACAAATTAAGTGTCATTTCTTGGAAAATATTATCAATTAAACTGTGTTTAAAGTCAAGTGTTTTGAACCAATGAAGAAAACAACATAAACATACATAATTTAGGTAAGTGTAACTTTTGATTAACTTTTAGGTTAAGTTATATAAAAGTCGAGTCTTTAATCATGATTCCTGTCATGGAGAAAAGTCCTAAGAAGAGTAGGAAATATTTATCTGTTTTATAAATACGTGTTTACACATGTAAATTACATAATAGTTTATATAATCTAAGTGACTCGTGTAAGACGGAACGTACTCCTCATGTTATAGGACAGGGGGATTATTGTAATTGATAGGTCTTACTTAACAGTATAATAAATATAAATAAAAATCACTGTAGCTTCTATAACGATTTAGAAAGTACCACCGGAAGTGGGGTCTTATTTAAACCGAAACGCAAGCACATGCATTGATTGGAGTAGTACTTACGCTTACTTGACTCAAGCAGTTACGACGTAAAACCGTGCTCGTGGAAAGACGTTAAAGTCACGTCACGGCGATTCGAAGTGAGTTATTTAGCTTAATCGGCGATTTTACTGTGTGCCAGTGCAGGAATTTCCACCTTTTCTCTACTTGCAATCGAAATCATTCTTGAAAGTTACTACGCTGAAGTATATTCGCTACAATAACCGGTATTTGAACTTCTTCATTTTAACACATTGCCTATCGTAGTACCAACAATTAATTTCCAATCGTAGTAATACAAATCAAATTCATATTTGTATGTTTCATAATTAATATTATACTTCAATGTATCGTTCTACATATTCAGCCGTTACAATCAACGTGTTTATATTTTCATCGCGACAGGCATTTGCCTCAAATGTAAACGTTCAATCACCATTGAATTCGAAATAAGCACAACATTGGACGAGGTATTATAAGAACGCGTTGTAAACACGAAACGATCGACGGTCTCGAGACAATAGGCGTGTACGAAGCATGCGGTATTTTTCGCAGTATTTCACGCCGAAGAAATTCAGGGGCAACGGCAGCTTCATACGAGGGGGGTTGTTTTCGAGGCCGAGTAGAGAGTTTGCGCTTAGCCAGGCCGACTGGTGGTTGGTTCGAGCTTGCCAGCTTTCGAGCAGCAGCCAGTCGCCGGCTGCCGGGCCACGACCTCGCATCTCACTCGGTTTCCGCTTCCCTTTACGATCGTATATCACGCCACGCTTCTCTTTACATCGCGAATTTCAAGTGTTCCATTCATTATTCATTTCCTTTCCCTATTAACACGCGACAATTTCTTACATAGAACAATATCGAGTGACGAACTTTCCACGGAAAGTTCTGTAATAGAGTACAAGTGTAAACGTGAATAAGAAAATCTTTCCAGTGAAGTGAAACTGCACGAGGATTCTTCGAGGTGACGAATCGTCTCGTTTTGGTATGGCGAATGGGTGACAGACACGGGGCTACTGGTCCATCCGGGATTGAAGGTGTTTTTCCGCAACGGGGGAACCATGTGAGCCTACGACCATGAGGGTGAGTTTTGCTACTGTTTCTTTTACGTTCAGATATTCGGTCGCTTTGGGGGTTGGAAATTAACCCTCACACGCTGCATTTGACTCTCAAAAATTTTAATGAAATTTTTAATGTGTTACTATTAGAATTAGAATGTTAAATCTTAAATGAAAAAGGTTGAAATTCTTTTTAATTAAAAACGGTTGTATCAATCTTGCAATAAAATTACAAGGTACCATTTTAATAATACAAATTGCAAGTATGAAGAAAATTAAAAATATTCAGATTCTGTTTACAACCATCATCACAAGTTTATATTATTGAAATGAAAAGTACAGTAGAATCTCGTTATCGATTTTTTTTCGAATTTTTCAATATTTGCATTCTATGTTAATTTGAAAAATATTGGTCCAATGTATGTTAGATTTTATCTTTGTATACGTGTAACACGTCGTTAAATACTATTGTCGAAATAACGTTTCTATCGCATATGTATTAAATGGATTCTCCGATTAAATGGAATGCAAATAAGACGACAGGGTAAGAGAAGCTCTCGCATAGCGAAAGGTCAATGAAATGTCAGGTCGAATTTTCTGTATTACCACATCCGCGGTAAGTGTTACCGTTTAAACCCACCCGTTGCGTGTGCTGATTTATTGCACGCTGAACGAGCTACGCAGCTTTGGGTTGTAATTATTTTCACGTGACCGGTGTCGGGATTAAACCCTTCTCTTCCGCGATAGGGCGTGTTTTTACGCATCCCTACGTGTTGGTTCGACCATCAATTTAAGTTTCCTTTTTTACCCGTGACCAGTATTGGAAAAAGGATTTTAGAGTTTATACAATATATTAATTATTTGAAATAATTTTATTCACTAATTAGTACGATAAAATTTCCAGTTAATATTATACAAATTATAATTTTTTCCTTTATCTTTCATATAAGACAAAATTAATAACCCTAACAGAAATGATCTCGGATTAGATTTGAATAAAAATCATTCCGGAATGGAAAGTCGAAGTTAGGAAATCAAGACGATGCAAAAAGCTCGTTCGTTCATTCGTCGTACGTGTTCGCAAAGTAAATGAAATCTCTCCGCGTCGATTAAATCCATAATGAGACACCGGCTGTTTAATTGGTGTTTTCACAAGGAAAATACAGGAATCGATCGAACGGTATCGAGGGGTAAACGTTTCTCCTAATTTTCACGCAGTTACGATGTTCGTGCTGTTGGCGAGATTATTGTCTTCGTTCAAGGGAAACTAAATAGCATTCGTTGTAAATTAACCCTTGTCGTCGATTATTCTACCTTATTTCCATTCGAAACTCGTAGAATCAATACACAGTAGAGTACCTGTACTAAAAAGTTAAGCTAAACTATTTTATTGGATTGAATTAAATAAAATGTACTCCGAAGTGTTTGTTTCTTTAGAAATTTTTTAAAAATAAACTTATTATTTTTATTTATAAAAATTCCTTTGGATAACATGGCAGGTATAATGGCGTTAGTCCTGAGTATAATAGTATGTGAAATAGAAAATTGGAAAAAAGGTCATTGAATAACGTAATACTTAATTTATATAAAAAATAAAATTATTGCTTTCTGTCCCTACGTCGGTATAATTTCAGAAATCAATAGCTAATCTTGGGAAAACTTTTTCCCTGCGTCAGCCTTTGAGATAACAAAGTTGAAGGGTGTGATACCCTATGGAAACTTGAATTTGGAACGAGCCACTTGTAAATTAAACTTGAAACTTCGACGAGTTGCTCGCGTGATCCCCTTAATCGCGTTATTAATACGAAGACGACGAGTAATGCAGGCTGATACAACAGTTGAAGAGCATTTTCACGAAAGTGGGTCAAGTTTAGTATAATGCATCGTGACGAAAGGGAATACGTGTGTTCTTAACACTTGGACGATCGAAAATTTCAAAGAATTTCTGAATTTATTTCTGTAATAATTTTAAAATTTGATAAAATTTCTATTATATCTCGTTTCGTTTGAAATTTCTTCCTACAATAATTCTTTAAATAAAGAAATTTCGTACGTGATGTTCCTATACGATAGCAGTAATAAGTTATCGAACTGTTTACATTTGTTTAAAGACAAAAAATGATCCATTTACCTGTTAGATTACTATCGCTGTTCAAACATTTAGTAAGTACACGTTCAAATATGATCCATCTTATTCAAATTTTCACAATGAACAGAACTTTCAAGAGAAATTGTGTATTTAAGTAAATAGTGGCTTTTGTTTCATCGTCTCAAACTACGAACTCAAACTTTCCGTCAGGCTACTTTGAGATAACTTCTTTCCTGGTTTCGTTTACCAACGAAACCCCCGGGAATTCGATTAACAATCACCCTATTGTACAAGGTGATTCCCATTGTTATTCTACCAAGACGAAATCATCCTTCATTTCTTGAACCTTTTCAACGCTAAATACGTTTGATAAAGGGACCGTTTGTTTCATTTGGAAATTCAAAGCTTTTCCAATGGAAAATTTGTCAATTTTCGTCTACAAATCGAATGCTAGACAATTGAAATGAAAACTTGTTATATGGAAAATTGAAAAATGAATTGAGCATTATGCTTGGAAAATGGTATTTGCAGTTACAATTTTTGTTTTATTTAAAATAGAATACTTTTGTAATAGAAAATGTGAAAATTGTTATCTACGAATCAAATGCTAGACAATTAAAATCAAAATTTAAAAAATGACCAAGCATAACGTTTAAAAGATCTAATTTAGTAAATAGAGATAATTAACATATCTACAGTGGTTGCAATGAAACTAATAACCATCAACGGGACCAAAAGTGAAACAACATTAAAATAGCCTAGAAATTCCATGATGATAGCCGTTTTATTTCCTATTTCTAAAACGAGGTTGCTCAGCGACTCTGTTGCAAGTCATTTCAAACAATTTTCTTGCACGTCCATAAACTCAGTCCGCTTGAAGCAAACCGTAAATATACCAGGTATAGCTCTAGTGAAGATACAATAAAACGAGGCTCGCAGAGCTGGGTCAAACGATTCTCTCGAGCTTTCTTTGATCCACGTGTCAATAGTAAAACACAGTAAATACGTGGAGGAGTTTATATACGACAATGCTTTATCCTCGAATCGGTTCTTTTAATCATGAAAAATGTTTAATTTCACCGACCTTTGTTTTTCAATTTCTTTCCATTTTTAACTATTCAATAATTGTGTCAATTATTTTTTACTTCAATTAGTAAGATGGATGAATTTTGTATATATGTATTATCATGCAAATTTTTCATTTTATCAGGCTTTTATTTAATTTTTTTATCAATTTGTTTTATTTATTATTTATATGTATCCTGTTGGCTATGAATAAATATTCAGGTTTTCGTAAACAACTACAATATATTATATTTTATATGATATAATTTTGAATCATGAAATTTTTTGTTTCATTCCGTCGTTTTTTATCAACTATCACTCAATCATGGGCTGATGATATTAGATTTGAGAGACTTTGCAGAGAAAGGAGAAATTCTCGAAACAGACGTATTTGAAAATTTCCTTCTCGTTTCCCTTGATATCGGTCTTCTTTGACGTTCTCGTAACGTAGAACCTTTGAGTCCCAGTAGAATCCAAGAAAATCAACCATTTTCCTGGTTCTACACGCGCTCTATTTCCAGTTACAAGGAAGTAACGATCATCGATTATCGAAACTACATCGAACTGCCTTTGAGAATTGTAGGATTTGTTAATGAAACATTCTGAAAGAGCAATATCTTTCATCTAAGAATTTAATCCAAACCATGATTCTCGATAATTTTTATTTAATCAGTAAAAAAAGGGGGTTTCAATATCTCTGTCAGAAGATATGAAATTTATGAACATATCCAATGAAGGAAGAATTATTTCCGAAAGAATTTTCCGAGGATTTCGGAAAATTATGCCCAGCAATGCTGCTAGAGTTTCTCCAGAGTTGGCGCAGTCGTTCGCTCCAGTTTCACGGCCCAAACTTCTATGTACCATTCGCGAAATTTTCCGCAACCAACTCGCGTGAATGTTACAATAAATTTCGTTCGTTCCACCGTCCACAAATTTCTCGTTTCCCTTTCGTGACAGTGTTCGATTTCCGTTTCTTGTTCGTCCGTCCATTTCCATCTATGCGACCATCGACTATCAATCAACGCGATAATTAACGATGCCCGTTTCTAATTATCCATGTCCCTGTTGATCGGTATCCATGCTTCGAGTTCGATCGGATCGATCGATTGCGATCAGCTTACCGATTCAACGGACCATCTTGATTTGATTTCGCGCGAATGAATTTCTGGTAAACAGGAATATCGTCGGCAAACACGCCACTCGAAAATCCTCGATTTACTGTCTTTCGTGAAAAGTTATGGCACACGTTCATAAGTTCCTTCGTATTTTATGTATTTTTCTGATTCGTAAAAGGACTGCGCGAACAACTCTGATGGAAATTGCAGATATAGGAGAGACAATAAAACACGTGAAATTTTAGAACATTTTAAAATTTATAGAGAGCGATATTTTATATTGTCAAATAAAAAAAGGAAAAGAAAGATTCTAATTTCAAAATCTCTATGGCATCGATAATTACATATAATTATTGATTGATTGTCAATATTTTTGATTGCATATTTGGCAACGGTACAAATTTATTAAAATAGCATTGAAAAATAATTTTCGAACGATTTTGCTGGGAAATACACAAAAGTGTCAGGAATTTAGTTGCCAGACTAATAAATATCATTTTCACTTTCCAATGAATTGATTGTTCTTTGGTGAAAATTTATCCTAGCTATTTTCATTAACAGTATCTCATAATTAGCCAGGGAAATGTTGATCGTTATGAGTTTGTCGGAGGCTATAATCTAACGATTCGCTAATACATTTCAACGAGGCTGGTCGTGAAAATAGTGGTCGAAATTCTCTGGCTCGCTGTGTATTCATAATCCTCTTACATTTTCAGTTAACTGGGTCACCGGAAATTATACATTGTTGCATTCACG